AGAATAATCACGCTTCTTCACTTTCACTACACCCACAGTAAAATCTTCGTCATCATTAGATGATTCAGAGTCGGACCAGATAAAGATGAGGACTCAGATGCGGTATCATTAAAAATTAGTTTTTTTTCTAGCTATGCACTTTCTTTTAGCCTCTTCCAAAGTTTGTTTTAATTTCATATTTTTAGCTTTGATTCTGGTATTCTCAGTTTCAACTTCAGCAAATTTTTTTCTAAGTTCAGGAATCTCGGCATTCTCCCGTGTAATTTTATCATTCTCGACTACAAGCTTGGAGATCTGTTCTTCTAATGATTCGATTTTACCATTTTTATATAAATACGGATATGTTTAATTATATTAGCTAATAAAAAAAAATTACTCATGCGAGTTCACTGTTCACGCCGATCACTTTCGCCAAGAAAAAAAAATAATCGCCGATATATTTACATACGAAATTCCCTTTATTTAACCAATGATCAAGCCTCAAAGAGGCGCCCTAAAGGGCATGATATATTTACATCGAAAAATTGATACAATTCGTGATTATGTGAATTATTTACATATTATGACTTAGAGAGTCGCCCTATAGGCCTGCTTTGCAATAAATCAGCACTATGAAAAGGTTATTTCTTGTACCGAGCAGTTAATCCTTCCTTTGCGCGCTTTACATCTTTAAACGAAAGAGATAAAAATCAGACCTTATTATAGATTAAAGCAATGACCTCTTCGAAATAGGTGCTAAAATAATTACACATACCTATATTCGTTCTTCTATGATTTTTTGGTTTCGCCACGTTATCTCGAGAACCTAGCGTCGGAGGAAGATATTTTGGTGATGGTTCATCCCCGTCGCTATTAACACCCCAGTCCAACTCATAATCGGCAAAAAAAGAACCAAATTTCCGTTTTTGTTTGATTATGGTGTTATGGATATAAAATACGACACTGTGTCGAACTCCAGCGATGACCGGGAGATTTCCATGAACCAAAATATTTGATCGAAATGCCACTGCTTGCCCTTGTTTGGCGTAAATAATCAACTTCAATTCGGGGAATGTTAATTCTCCACCTTCGAATTTCCCAAGTGGGCAAACCACACACAGAGTGTTTCGATGATCCTTCAAATCGCGGTGAAATTGGCAAACTATATTGAAATTAACAGCGACTGTGGGAAAAACGCCAAAAGATTTGGGAACATTCGACCCAAGATCTAGTTTCTTCATCTTGGAATATAAAGCGGGATACGTGGCTTTGATATATTTGTTAACTGCCTTAGAAATCGGTTGTAATCCTTGTATTAAATCTTGAACGCATTCTTGATGTTCTTCGCAATGGGAGGACGCAGTGTTTGCTGTGGTATACGGCAGGTTGTTGCTATCTGCAAATCCACCAAAATGTTCTATCAAGTCCTTTGCAAATTGTTTTGATTGGTGTGAAGGATGGGCGAGTGTGTGTTGATAGTACTGATCCACCGCTATTCTAACATCCTCGACGGCTATTTTATTATAAAAATCGAAAAGATCTACTATGGTTTCTCCGAAAGTATTTACAAAGCATTGTGGATTAAAAATATGTTGATAATTCTTAAGATTAATTCCCCTTGCAACGATCATTGTATATTCTTTCGCAATATAAAGTTTATCTCTCGGATGCCGTAAAAATGTTTCGTGTATATATCTTTCTAGCGATTTATCTTGAGATTCAACGTGCCGATAAATTAAATTCACTCGAAACCAGAGGTGACGGCAATGGCGACGAAGTTGTTGAATAAAGTTAGGACCAATTACGAAACACCCCCAAAGAGCGAAATTTTTCCACAATAATTTATCCGAAGATTCCACTAATGCTGAAGGATTATTATGCGAAGCATGATCTAAACTGGTATGATTAAAAACCTCTGACTCCAGCAATTCCATAAAATTTGTTGGTATTTCTGAGGAAGTTGGAATTTGTTAGATGCTTTGCGGTGGCAGGGATTTTTTGTTACCGTTAAAATTACCCTCATATAACTTCTTTTGAATTACATCTGAAAGTATATTAAGGTGATGGCTAGAAAGTGTGCTAAGATCGAGAGTGAAGGTGCCAGGTTTTACGCTATTTTGTGGAAGCAATTTCTCGTTAAGTAATTCCCGAACAACTAATCTTTGCCATCTCTTTTCGAGAAACTTTTCCTGAAAGGTAAATAAAGGGTCCGTATAAACTGAAGATTGCTGGAGGTTGCTTGGTTTAAGATCGCCTGATAGAAAATCCTCCGAAACCCATTCAAGCGTAATATATTTTTGAATCTCTTCTATGGTCATCTTGCGGGTCTCGGGTTGATTTTTATGCTATATAAAAGTAAACATTTGCCGTATTAGACTTATAATCATAAGAGTACGTAAAAAGTCTTAGCACCTTGTACCTGCTTCGCTAAATTTCTCGTAATATAGGGTGAATACATGCAAACTATTTCTTATCTCACAGCTCAGTGATAATAAAATCGTGGAAACCCTGCGTATAATTTCTCTCCTCGCAAGTGGCGATAATAATAGTTTGTCGATTACAACCCAACGAATAGAGGTAAAGCTTGGTAAGGGAGGGTGAAATCGGCCCCTAGACCTGTCTTAAAGACGATGATTACCCCTATTTTTCAAGCCTCTATATATATATTTCCCACTTATGCGACCCACTTATACTTACTTTTTCTGGCTGGTAGAAAATTTCCGGAACTAATTTGTCGACGTCCTCAATAGAAATTTCGTCGTTATAGTGGCTTGTTTTCGGAGTTCTGCATAACGTCGTAACTTTTTACGCTGATTTTGCTTCGAGGTCTTCGTAACTATTACATTTATATAAAAGGTAAATAACTATTTATTATTGTAAATGTGTCGACAACCCTTACCTTCATTTTAAAGACTAGTCAATATCAGCTCGGGAGAGATTCCTATTCGTGTCGAGAAAAAAAAGTCTACGGTTTATTACTAGATAAGCGGAGAGATCCAAAAGCAACACTATTCGACGAGCCGTTAGAATTATATAATCCTAGAGCCGAGTCCTACTCAAATCGAATAGCGTTCACTTTTGCCTGAAAAAAAATGGAGTGGGAAGCATGGGAGTACGGTCGACATATCTATATATTATTAATACAATGCCGTGTAACGGTAATTAATCCGATGATTGGCTAAAAAAAAGACGATAATAACATGACACGACGCGATTAAAGGCTATTTTCCAATTTTTCAACTTCGCAATGTCTGATGAAATTGAAATACATAAATATTTCGACCAAGATCCTAGGAATTGGAGCATTCTCGGGTTTCTAAATGAATGTGAGCTAGAGCCTTTTGAAAAGAAAATAGATTTTTATATAAAATGGCTCAAAAAAATCGTTGACTGTGAGCAAGGCATCAAGAAGAAAAGCGCTCAGGCGCTACTTGACAATTATCAAAAGGCAAGTCCTAAATTTTTTTTCTATTGGGAATTTAGGTTGAAGAAAGTGGCGTGACGTGGACCTCCTTGGTAGGCGCTCATTCAAGGCTCTTTGCCGAGCCACGAAACTGGTGTTGGCGCACCAGTAACCTCACTTGAGTTATCTGATGCCAAAGGCTCCTTGCCGACCCAACATTGGACCCACTGGTGTTGGCGCACCAGTGACCTCACTTGAGTTATCTGATGCCAAAGGCTCCTTGCCGACCCAACATCGGACCCACTGGGGCGCAGGTGACCTCGGTTGCGTGATGTTCTAGTGGGACGGGAAATCGAATAGATTTGAGGTGTGTTAGTTAAAAAATATTACTAATTTTAAATCTTCCGTGCTAGGAAAAACAAGACCGCAGAAAAGCAAGAGAGTGGGAGGAGAAGCGCTCACATAGTAAGACTTACATCCACCAGCCAATTATCGGAAATGGAAATATAGTTGGAAATAATAATAATATTAACAATGAAACTATCACTGGATTATCAAAACGAGAGGTACAGATGTATAATTTTTTTTTAGCTAGAAGTTGTGAGATAGTGATTATCTGTTAGAAACTAACTCTTTCTCTTTGTATTTAGTCTGATGAATATTATATGCCTATGTCTATTCGTCAAACAAAACGGAAGAATTTATCGTCGTCAAAGGTTAGAATGTAACAATATAATTTTTTTAATATAAAATGTTGTCTT